AAACAAAAGCATACTACCTACTATCTGTAAATTAAAAGAATGGTGTTCACTATTTTTTGAATACCTCAGCAACAGAAAGAACTAGAGACCTGCTGTTTTCAACGCTCGCTAGTCAAGACTCTAGAGTATTTTTTCATTATCAAAACGTTTCCGAAATTATTTCTCAAAATTCCGTCTCTTAAAGATCTTTGGAAAACTATTTCATACGATGAAATTTCTCGGAATTTTGCGAATTAAACGAGAATTTGGTGAAATATAAGAGAATTATGCAAGAATTTTGCATAACCTTTCTAGACTTTTGAAAGTTAAAGCAGAATTTTCACCTAACTGCGTGGACTGATGGGACCAGATTTCAGACTTAGGTCTTCGAAAATGAGGTAAAAAATACTTGTTAACTCTACCCTCTGCACCCTGTAAGTAAGTGAGTAATACATATTACTTAACGAGAAATTCGCATGTTCTGACGTTTTACGCCGTAGGCTTGTGCTGAGTTGAATACATCAAATACTTATGGCATATTCAAACATATTGAAGGTGTGAGAGACATTCGAAATGCTACACGTTTATCAATGATTCATAACGTAACTGCTCCAAAAACTGATGGTAACAAAAGAATATCTGATTGTACAGAAAGGGTTACATGTTTTTTGCATTTATTTTAGTCGATACTACTACTGGTCAGATTACTTCAGAAAAAGACGGTGTAACAACTGTGAATGAACCGCTACCTCAAGCTGCTCGGCTTCCGTTAGCGCAACGTTATTTCATGTTTTAATTTTATTAATAACTGTTCAAGGTAATATATTTGTTATCTTTCGTGTTCTTTTCGTTTTTATGTGTACTAGCAACAAATAACCAAAAGTAGAATGTATAATAAAGAAATATAAATTGTATATACTTTTAAAGAATAGTGAAAAGTGTGTCTACTTTGTATATCTGAGATTTTGGATCATTATTTTTTTTGCGTTAGACACCATCATTAAAAGATCGTTTATCATATCTTCCAGTGGAATGTATTCATTAGACTGGATTTTTTTTGCTATCCTTTTTAAATCAATTGGTTCTTTTATTACTTCGTAATAATCAGGATATAACTAAAATGAAATAAAAATGATCTATATAATTAATTAATAATACGATTTTTAATATACCTTTCTTGATGGTACAAATAAAAATATATGAGACATTAGTCGTTCATCTACTCTTGCATTATAAACAGCTGTAAAAAGTTCTTCAAGATAATATGGATCAATCCTTTGTTGTTGCGATTGTTGAGTTGAATTACTATCGTCAGATTTAACTGCCATAACGTCACCATTGACTAAAGAATTTTCCGGTTCTACTAATTTTTTTCGTCTTCCTCGTCCAGATGTTTTAGATGGTAACGTTGTACCAGTTTGTTGAGAAAAGGGTGATGATGGTTCAGATAATAGTGATGATTCAAAACACTGATCAGATGTTAAGACAGCTCCTCACGAGCAAGCAAATAACACAAAAGCAATACGAACTCTTGAAACCCACACAAGAAGATTGTGAACTACCTCATCTCTACTATAATCCGAAAGATCATAAAATCGGAGAACCTCTACGTCCGATAGTGAGCGGAATGAAATCCCGTACAGCCAAAATGTCAATTTTTCTAGACCAGATCTTGAGAGCTATTTTTGACCGAGAAACATCACATTATACGCTTGAGAATTCTCTGAAATTCTTAGATAAAATAGAACTATATGAAATTATAGACAAGACAATTTACGTTCGATATCACAGACCTATACACGATGATTCCTCAATCAGAATCCGTCCAAGCCATAAGTCGCCTCCTAGAAAAAACAGGGAACCGGAAAGTTGAAGGCATCTCTATAAACACGATTGCTAAAATGCTTCGATTCATACTTGCCAACTCCTACTTTGCCTTGGACAAAAAGTACTACAAACAAATTCGAGGCGGTGCGATGGGTAGTGCCGTAACACAAGTATTGGCAGACGCTTACATGATGGAATGGGAAAAGGACCTTTTAGCTTCCCAAATAGCCGAAAACGAGTGTTATTTCCGATTCCGCGACGATATCTACCTCACCACCAAGAGAGATCTTTTTGAATTTTGTGCCATTTTAGATAAGCTGAACGAAAAAGACCCAAACATCAAGCTGACATACGAGAAAGGCGAACAAGTAGATTACCTCGACATCCGCATCATCAAACAAACACCTCGCAACAAATTTCGTACCGTAGTTTTTAGAAAACCTGCCGCACAATCTTATATACTACCTTTTGAATCCTCACATCCAATTCACATAAAGCAAAATATCCCATATGTCTCATTACTTCGAGCTTTGCGAATCTGTTCAGAGGTAGACGACTTTAAGGAAGAGAAATTTCAGATTCGCGCACGTCTACTTCTAAACGGATACCCAAGTAAATTTATAGACGGACATTTCGACCGATTGATCGAAGACGTAGGTTTGAGAGGCCTCGACACGACTTTTGAACCACAAACGAAATACAACGAATGCCGTAAAAAAGTACGAAACCCGGCATGGAGCATGAGAGAAAAACCAAAACAACACAAGAACTTCATCTTTTTTCGTGAGAAAGTCCGTGTTTGTCCGCAAGAGCTTGATCATTTTTCCTGAACAGCATCGATGCCATTCCACAAGAACTTCATCTATTTTCCTGAATAACTCGGGAATTTCTCCGCCACCAGGTCATCTTTTCCCCTGAATTGCTCGGTCTTTCTATACAATAACGTTATCTTTTTTCTTGAAAAGCTCGATGTTCCTCCGCGATAACTTCACCGTTTCTCCTCTATAGCTCGATGTTTCGATATTCTGTATGAAGTAGAAGAATATGACAATTCTGAGAATATTAAGTAATTCTGAGTAATGCTGTTGTATTTCACAAAATTCAGAACTGCGACAGATTTCGCAGACTTAGGCCAAAATCTATTAAACAAGTATTTTTTACCTCATTTTTGAAGACCTAAGTCTGAAATCTGGTCCCATCAGTCCACGAAGTTAGGTGAAAATTCTGCTTTAACTTTCAAAAGTCTAGAAAGGTTATGCAAAATTCTTGCATAATTCTCTTATATTTCACCAAATTCTCGTTTAATTCGCAAAATTCCGAGAAATGCGACAGTTCTGACACTATTCTTCCATGATGCTGGCGTATTTCACAAAATTCTGACTTATTTCGCAAACTTCGAAAAGCATTTTTCAAAAATGCAAAAAGAAAAGACTGGATGAAATTTGAAATTCAACTTGAATGTGCAAAATTCCATTTTCTAAAATTCTGAAACGATTTAGGATCTGCAAGTTGTGAAAAAATTCTGCCAAATCTGTGACAATTCTGAGAATATTCTTGCATAATTCTGTTCTATTTCACTGCATTCTGCGCCAGTTCAAAGAATTTCGGAAAACATTTTCCAAAAATCTGATAAGATTGGGAAAATTCTGCAGGTTTCCCCAGAAGAAGTGCATCTTCTCTATCGACAAACTCGATATTACCCTAGAAGAAACTAAATAACTTTTCATGAGAAACTCCAAGTTTATCCAGAAGACACTTCATCTTTTCTCCTGCAAAACTCGATGTTAGTGCAGTTCTACTGCACTAACATCGAGTTCCTGTCAAACCATTTTGCAAAATTCCGATAAATGTGACAGTTCTGACAATATTCTTCCATGATGCTGGTGTATTTCACAAAATTCTGACTTGTTTCGCAAACTTCGAAAAGCATTTTTCAAAAATGCAAAAAGAAAAGACTCGATGAAATTTGAAATTCAACTTCAATTCAACAGTAGAATTAGACAAGAATATCCTCAGAACTCAGAAACAGATTTATCAGAACTGTCGCCAATTCCTCGATTTTAACAATAGCAATAGCAAACAACAATAGCAATCAACGATTCGAATGAGAAGATGGAAAGTATGTATTGTGGATATCAATGAGTACGAATTTTTATTTGTATTTTCGTGTATATCCCATAGGTAATGTAAATAGTAAAGAATTATTAGTAGAACCAAGTTGCACAACAGTATTCGAATGTGAATCACTATCAATTATGAGTGTTCTCTATTCAATTGTAAAATCAATAGATACAGATGTTTTGCCGTTATCGTCAATGGATGATGAAGTAAATGCACCACGGATGGATTCGTTGAGCCCGTTAACCATACCGATGACGACAGCAAAAGATTCGAATGAAAACATACACAGTATGTCTCTTTTTTTTGGATGATATGAATAAATGTGAATGAATATTTATTGCCCACTTCTGTTTGGTTATAGGTAGTGGCATTACAATTACTGAGGAATCATTATTAAGCTCCTCGTGTGAGGATGCAAAAATACGATATATTTGTAGAAAGATTTTGCTGTCTAATTCGGTCATCATGGCCCTTACGGACATTAATACATTAACAACACACAGTGGTGGTGGCAATCGGAAAGTAGCTATTCGTTCATTATTGGATGAAGGTTTATTGCTAGAAGATTTTTATTTGGCACGGCGTAATGCAACAACAACAAATACAGCAACTCTTAAATGTTACGCAAAAGCATTCCCTATGAATAACTCGATAACAGCTAAAACAAAATTTATAGATTCATTATCTAAATACAATGTGCGTTGGAGTGAATATATATTATCCTTTAATCATGGTCAAATAATTGAGATTGATTCAGTAGCAAATACCCCAATAATAAATGCTAATAACACTATATCTAAAACGTCTTAGATGTCACTATCAGAAAAAGCGAAAGAATTATTCCAAGCAAACGATTATTACAAACAATATGTTCGTTATGATGTACATCAAATTCTTCTGCCATTGCAAGAACATAAAACAAATCTTTCTTCGAGGAGTAAGTGTCGTACTTCTTTTTGAAACAAAATAAAAGAAATGTTTCTTGTTCTCTTGTTCATTAATAGCTACGGACACATTTCATACGGTAGCAAAAAAATCAACGAAAAAACGAAGATTAAGTGTTACAACAGATGAAACTAATGCTGTTGGTGATATAAATTTGTCGAAAAAACCTCGGCGTACCAACCGACGAACAGCAACAGTTAATAAAGAAAATGAATACATTTATTTTTGACATCAATCACATTTGTTTTTGTATAGTATCTATATACATATACATATAGATATAGAAACATATTCAGTGTACTTTGGTCAAAATCTTGTTTTGTCGTTTAATTTGTTGCACTTTTATTCTTTGTGTTATTTCTAACTATGCATTTGTCAGTATCTCATATCAAGTATAATTTTTACTTTTACTGTAATTATAAATGTAATTTTTATTTTTCTCTGCTTACTCAGCTACTGTACACCACATGTGTACAGCTACTCTTATAGATAATGTTTAAAAAGATAAATCTGGTTGTAAATATATTTTGTATCTTATAGTGTATCATACAAATAAAGGTTTATATGAAGAAGAAAACATGAAGTTTTCACTGTTCAAGATATATTAATAAATTTTCTTTAGTTATATGAGTGGCACCCTATGTATAATGCATCAAATGTATTTGTGTTACCTTTGTTTTAGCATTTTTGGCTGTTGTTCATATAATGGATTGGGATAAACAGTTGTCCGTCAACGTTACTGATATTGAAAATGTTTATATTTTATTGATAAGAAGAATGACTATCAAGGAAATTTCCATACTGTCGACGCTGGATGATATTTTGCGAAGTGAATTACCACAAAAACAATCGCATTTAAGAAGAATACTGAGTTCCTCTGAGAATACAAACTATACCGAACGTGATGTCAGTTTTATGTTATCAATGTTAAACGATATACCGCAGGTAAAGTGTTATATTTATATACTTGTACAATACAAGTCAGTACGAGTGGATATCTTTAATCTCGTCCAGTTGTCATTTTTTACGTTCAAAAGCACATAGATGGCGGTTCTTTCACGGAAATGTTTCTTACAATAGTTTGCAACTGAACTAAAAATACTGTTTTCTTATGCATCCACATAGAAATACAATGCAAGAATAAATGCAGAGCGGTACTATTTAGTAATACAGTTATTAGAACTGTTGTTTTAATCGGTACCAGATGGACTGAAGTACCCGCTACAAAAAACGGTAAGGGAGAGCGTCAACGGTACCTTTTTCTCGACAAATTTATTTAAAAATTTTTATACCGAAATGTTTCACTTCATTGTTTTTTCATTTCTTTTGTATTCCGATCATCAACGAAACCGTTCTTTACTTTGCAAATTCTATGAACTTTTGCAGTCATCATCAATATTTTTCATCGTACGGTTCTATTTGTTGTAGGTAAAACAAATGTTTGCGTTTAGTTGCTGTGAAATAGAAAAAGTAATTCATAAATACCGAAATTTAACTAATGCCGACGATAATGTGAGTCATGTTACCTCAATCTTAATTTTTTCTCTACTGTGATTGCATGCAATTTAGGTTGACGTTGATTTTATCAATTTAAAGCCATTCACGTCGACTTGTATTAACTGTTTATCGGTGATGAAAATAGAAAAACATCGAAATGTGTTTTTATTTGATATAGATCGCATTAAAACATGTATAATATATAAAGCTATATGCCAAACTTGTAAATTACATTACTACCCCAATTATTATCAAAATAATTTTTCAAAGTCTAAATTTGTATCATCGGCTGCAATCAAAGAGAACGAAATCATATATTTTGGTGGTAGTGCAGCATTTCATTTCAATCTGTTTACGTCGTTTACATCAAATCTAATTTTTTGTCATTCGCCATTCAATGGTTTTACTAATGCATATAACCGTACAATTGAACTAATTCAAAAACATGATTCAAATCAACAAATATCAGTGAAAGACCGTCGTTTAGATCCAAAATTATTCCAGAATACATGGTTGATGTTTGAATTATGTCGATTTCAGTTCATGGTGACCGATGAATGTTTTTGTGAAATACCTTCATGTTACGAAGGTATAAAAAAAAGCAAAATTACTTTATACTATATAAGCTGATGGGCTGGGTTTTAATTTTAGGCCAAAGTCGTAATGTGTTTTTGAGTGTAAACAATGAACGTTTATATTCACTATTTGTTAGTTTTTGGACACACCACGAAACCATTCCTTTTAAAAAGTGTAAATCAGAAAATTGTTTGAAAGTCTTTCTGACCGACGGACACCAAAAACCTGATAGAAAAGTGTGCTCCTTTGACAATGTATGCGATATTACCATACCGGAGTTGGGACCAATTCTCATTGGTTGTCCACACACGCCTATACGAGAAAACGGTATGCTCAACCTTTAGCCAGATACTATGTTAAAACTTTGCTTTTTTTATCTCACCTAGGAAGCGGTGATAAATTTTATTGCGATCAACATCAACCGGAATTGTTACAGGAACTTCAACAACAACAATATACAATTAAGAAAGAAGCTTTGTCAAAAACTCAAATAGACAATGAAATCATTGAAAAATCATACAATCCATGTAATGTTTATCGTGACGAAATGCAAGAAACGAAGAGAACAAGTTTTGGATTTTTGGCAACATTTCTTAGTTGCGGTGTAATTGTGGGTTTTGATGAGTCGTATCGAGCGGAGGGTATGAGAAGAGTTATTCGCCATCTAATTTGTATTTTAGGTAGAGGCAAGTTACCACCAGCTATGCTTTACGATACAGCATGCACTCTCCGATTGTTTATCGACAAATGGTTCAATACCGAATATTTATCGAACACAGAAAATGCAGAATTTCTGAAAACAATGTCACTTGCGATTGATCGTTTCCATCAGCCGAATCATACAAGGAAAATGTGTCGAAATGAAATGAATTGTGATCATCAAACACATAATGGACTATTTAAAAATGTCGACACACAAATATGTGAAAGAATGTTCTCGTATTTCACCAATTTTAAACATGCATTTCGTTCTTACAATTTTCCGAAAAGTGCCACGTTTTATTTAATTTTATTCCATCTTAAGAATTGCGATACAGTTGGAATCAATCCCAATCATCAACGGCTCGGTATGCTGGTCATTCCGAATAAATATCGCGTAACCAGATGAAGACAGCGACAAATTGACAACGAGTTGATTTTCTTTTAGAAAATTTTTCTTGTTTATTCAGTGTAAACAGTGTTCTTTAGGAAAATGATGATGAACATTCTTTTGGAAATTGATTCTTACAATTAAATAAACTTGTCGCTTTTCCAAAAATTGTAAGAACGAAATGCATGTTTAAAATTGGTGAAATACGAG